GTGGACAGAGATCTGAACCAAACAATTCATCCCACATTTTTTCAACGCAACAACAAAGTGACGCTAACTGTTTTTGCTCTAAGAGACAGTTTTTTAACGTGGAACATGTAAATACATATTTGTGTTGGATCGCTGAGGACCCGCGGAGATTAAACTGATGTCCGTCTTCTCTTGTGACTGTCTCTGAAACAAAAGAACCGAGGATCCCAGAGAGAGTTCACAGTTTCAGTCTGAACGTGATGGATGAGAGGTCTGAACGCCTCGGGCCGGCTTATTCCTTCTCTTACTTCCTTCGTGTCCTTTTGTTCTCGTGCTGCCCTCGTCTCTCTGTGTCTGATTGTCTGTCTTAACTAACTGCTTGTGTTTTTCATGTCAACACAAACTGACAGCCCGACTCCACTCCTGACTTTCACCCGTCCCTCCCGCTCGCCGCTCGAGGCCGCAGCCGGGACGAGTCCAAACGTCTGGACGTCAGACTGCTGAAGGGCCTGTTGAAAGCCAAGAGCTCACCGGTGCATAGAAAAGGTCCCGCACAGCGAACGCACTGCCAGTGGAAATAGAGCTAGGTGAGACAGGGAGGCATTGTTTGGTCCTGTTTCTCCTCCTTACAGGTGGGACTCCTCAGAGTCTGCAGCACAGACCTCCGTTCAGACGGATCAGGGACACTCTCCAAGAACATTAAGAGGGCTTGGCACGAGGTTGGCACGACACCGACTAACCGCCAAGTCTGGAGGGAACGGTAATGATGGTGGAGGAGCTCAGGTGTGGACTTCAGCTTTAAGTGATCTGTACTTGAACCTCATCATATTCATATACTCCTCATCATTCATCATCATAAAACATTTGGTTTTAACAACAAATCCTCTTAAGACTTAAAAACTTAATTCTAACCACAAAGAAGAACTTGATCTTTTGTTTGTCAGCATTTTGTCTTAAGAGTTTTGGGCCGATTTACCTCAAATTTCACCAGAACTTACACAACTTAAAATCAATCAGGCCTCGCAACCTCCCATAAAACCCTTCATGGAAATGTGATTTTATAATTAAAATTGGCTTGGCAAAGTGTAAAAACTTATATATTTTCAATTAAAAGCTGGAAGTCTGTGTGACATTGTGTGATTTTTTTTAAAGTAACTTAACATTTTGGACTATTTCTGAAATTTAAAGGAAAATCGAAGTTCAAGAGCTTTAAAAACGTCGATACAAATCAGAGGCTACATGGAGAAAACTGATCTGCTGAGAGGCAGAAGACGAAACAGATGACTGATGCAAAGCGGCACTTTATATTCCAGAGAAAACAGGGAGGGCGGAGAAATACACAGGCAAATTGAGAGACAGACGCTGAGGGTGAAGAGATAAAGGGAAACATGATGTCAGGCCGCTGTTCAACGCTGCAAACTGGCTGCAGATGGCGGTACGAGAGGTCAGGGATGGAAATTAAAGAACAAATTCAGAACAGCAGCTGAGGGGGAGAGGAGGTGCTCTGACCGGGGGACGCGGGAGGAAGGCCGAGGGGTCAGCGTGGACCCGACGTTCAGGTTTTTAAACAGCAATTATAAGTTCCTCCAGCTTCCAGCTCGGAGCCGCGGCGGCTGCCTGACCCCTAATCATCCTCAATTTCACTCAGGCTCTGATACACGTCTCCTCCGATTGACTGTTTATTTTTCACAGCGCTTCCTGTTTGATTGAGCACCACGGGCTGTGTGTCTTTTTACGGAGAGCAGCGAGGTCAGAGGTCATGTGCACACTTACCACGAGCGTTAAAAATGATCCACCGCCGTCGAGCAGTCGATCTATTAAAACAGATGCACCAAAATCACATTTCTTGTACAGAATAAAGCGAAATACACAGTGGTAGTAATCAGTGGTCGCTGGTGGTCATTATTATTATTATCTTTATTTTAACTTTGTCTCTGAGCAATTATGTGTTTTAGTTTTGCACATGGCTACAGATACTACAATACCACCCAAATCTCTGATAAAGTTGTTTGTACAGTAATCAATGAGCTCCACTAACGAATGAATCTTCACTCTGTGTGAATATTGATTGATGAGTGAATGTTGGTTAAAACTGATATTATTGGTTAAAATTTGTTGCTTCACACTTACATAAGCAAAGAAATTGATGTTTTGTAAATTTGTTGTTAAAAGTGGAGTTTTAATTTCATCTGGATTTCAGTGAGTTGCCTAACAAGTGATCAGGTTCTGAAGGTTTAATTAATCGTCCCGGTTCAATAAAATGTATCATCTACCTTTTATTGAACCGGTCGAGGATGAATTCACTTCAGATTTATGTCCACTCGCTGTGTAACTTTCTCCGGTTCTTAGGAGACGCGTCTCGACACACGTGGAGGACAGATATCTGACATGTTGAACTTCTGAACTGAGCGCAGCCGTCGGGGTAACCTCCTCCTCTTCCTCCTCCTCTTCCTCCACTACCACCCATTCCTACAGGGGATTCATACACCCCCCCACCTCTAACCCCGATGTACCTCCGCAGGTCACCCCAGTAATGAGCCATGTGGTCCCCTCTGGCGCTCACTAATCAGGGATCCAAGGCCGTCCCATCCTCGCCCCCCCCCCCCACCCCGACGCCGCGGCAGCCAAACACACTCTGAACCCCAGAGTGGTTGTCTCTCTGCCATCTGGCCTCCATGCCTCGCCCTGTCTCCACTCTGCCGGCGATTTATGCCCTCCTGAGGTGTTTCGCCTTTTAACTCGCTCATAATTGGCCCCCAGATGCAAAGAAGATGTGGAGGCCAGTTTTTATTAGTTGCCAAGCAGAGGTCATTGTTTTTGAGAGACACGCTGTTTGTCTGTACCTTGAGCAGTGAGTGAGGGGAATAAGGGCTGTGCAGTGACGGTAATGATGGAGCTCAGTGGAGGCGCTGTGTGATGGTGCGTGCTGACTGACAGGCCTAAAGAAAACAATAAAAAGAAACAAATCACCGCAAAGCCCCTGAAATACCTTCTGTCCTGTTTCCTGTCCGCAGAGCTCCGCCTCCGACGGCTGACTCAGCAGATAAACGCCTGCTGTCAATTCGTTTGAGTTAACGGGAGATATTCACAGGAAAAGCACAACACGTGACAGGAAGAAGGAACTTTACTGCTCTCGGGGAAACAGGAAGAGTTTTATTTTAAAGTGATGTACGGGGGGAACCTGTTTCTGATAACAGTGCTGCAGTCACACAACAAACTCTCCATCAGTAACATAATAATGTCACCACAGTCTCAACAGGGAAACCCTCCGACAGGAAACTACATCGCAGTACAGATCAGCTTCTGTCTATCAGCTGCCTGAATTTATTTCATGAAAAATACGTTTGTCTTTAAAATAAACTGAGCGGAGGACAAAATCTTCCACTTTCTTTTCAAAGATTGCAATAGATAGATAGATAGATAGATAGATAGATAGATCGATAGAAGATAGATAGATAGATAGATAGATATAGATAGATAGATAAAGAGATAGATAGATAGATAGATAGATAGATAGATAGATAGATAGATAAAGAGATAGATAGATAGATAGATAGATAGATAGATAGATAGATAGATAAAGAGATAGATAGATAGATAGATAGATAGATAGATAGATAGATAGATAGATAGATAGATAGATAGATAGATAGATAGATAGATAGATAGATAGATAAAGATAGATAGATAGATAGATAGATAGATAAAAGATAGATAGATAGATAGATAGATAGATAGATAGATAGATAAAGAGATAGATAAAGAGATAGATAGATAGATAGATAGATAGATAGATAAAAGATAGATAGATTAGATAGATAGATAGATAGATAGATAGATAGATAGATAGATAAAGAGATAGATAGATAGATAGATAGATAGATAGATAGATAGATAGATAGATAGATAAAGAGATAGATAGATAGATAGATAGATAGATAGATAGATAGATAGATAGATAGATAGATAGATAGATAGATAGATAGATAGATAGATAAAGAGATAGATAGATAGATAAAGAGATAGATAGATAGATAGATAGATAGATAGATAGATAAAGAGATAGATAGATAGATAGATAGATAAAGAGATAGATAGATAGATAGATAGATAGATAGATAGATAGATAGATAGATAGATAAAGAGTTAGATAGATAGATAAAGAGATAGATAGATAGATAGATAGATAGATAGAGAGATAGATCGATCGATAGAGAGATAGAGAGATAGATAGTAATAAGAACTTTAAAATAGGTATTAAATTACAATATCTAACAACAATATATATATAAATAAAAATAGTAAGATATAAAGATATAAAAGGAGTCTGAACATTATAATACAATATATAGAAGATGTAATTATATGTATGCTACAGTATGTGGCAGAAGGGTAATGAATTACGTATAAATAGTAATTAATAAAGATTTATTTAATATTTGAGGAACCGTATTTGTCCACTGAATTGATTTTCTAGTTAATTCTCGTTTATTTTAAAATCTCTCGGCTATAAAAACCCTTCTGTTCACAAACGGGGAGCCACTTAAATGTCATGCTGCTTTCAAATGAAGCAGTGAGTTAACCTCTGACCCCTCTGACACACAGGCAGTCCCTCTGTCAGATAAAGAAACTCGTGGAAACTGGGTGGAAAATTAAATTAACACCCCATAATCAGAACATTTGAGATCACACGTGGAGTCTGTTCATCAGGAAATCATCTGCATCTGAAACACACAGCCGCAGTCCATACAGAAACCCTAAATCATTGATTAGGATCATTTAACTCAGGAACTTATAGAAGAGATCTATGGGAGGGGTATTTAGCACTCCATACGTGTGCCTTGTGAGTTATTACCTACAAAATCATATTTATTTGCAACATAGTTTTTAATAAAAACAAATTTAAAACATCTATGACGATAAGAGACTAACATTTTGTTTTATTGTTTGTTGTTTTTGTTCTTTTTATTCAGGCGATATCTTCAACTTCCGCCTCCTCGGTCCCTTTCGGGGTCCTTGAC